AATGAACTCAACACTGTAACAACCGAGTTGAGTTCTATTGACATCAAATTCGATGATGAAGTACAGGCTTTAATAATTTTGTCTTCCCTACCAGAGAGTTGGAATGCTACGGTCACAGCTGTGAGTAGCTCATCGGGAAACAATAAGTTAAGATTTAATGATGTTCAAAATTTGGTTCTCAGCGAAGAGATCCGGCGGAGAGAGTCAGGTGAAGCATCAACCTTTTCATTATTGCATACAGAGTCAAGAGGAAGAAGTTCAACCAAAGAAATTAGACATGGAAAATCAAAGGACAGACGGTCCAAGTCCAGAAATCATCGTAGTTCCCACAACTCAAAGTCGATCGAATGTTGGAATTGTGGGAAGACCGGACACTTCAAAAACCAGTGCAAAAGTGCACGGAAGAATCAAGGAGCAAAGGACGAAGCAAACGTTGCCTCCACCTCAGGAAAAGATGAGGCGTTGATATGCTCTCTTGAAGGCAGGGAGGAGTCTTGGGTGTTAGACTCCGGAGCATCTTTTCATGCTACCTCACAGAAGGAACTGTTGGAGAATTATGTTCCCGGAAACCTTGGTAAGGTTTACCTTGGTAATGAACAGTCATGTGAGATTGTAGGCAAAGGTGCAGTAAGGATTAAGCTGAATGGGTCTGTATGGGAATTGAAAAATGTCAGACATATTCCCGACTTGACAAAGAGCTTAATCTCAGTAGGTCAGTTAGCTAGTGAAGGCTATACGACAATCTTCCACGGTGATGAATGGAAGATCTCAAAAGGTGCGATGACGATTGCTCGAGGCAAAAAGAGTGGAACTCTCTACAAGACTCGCAGGAGCATGTCATTTGATTGCAGTTGCAAGCAAATGAAAATTCCAACATATGGCACCAAAGACTTGGACATATGAGTGAGAAAGGAATGAAGGTCATGCACTCGAGAGGAAAATTACCAGTGTCTTCGATCAGTAGATATTGACATGTGTGAAGATCGCATACTTGGAAAGCGTAAGAGAGTCGACTTTCGGACAAGTAAAAGAACCCCAAAGAAAGAGAAGCTTGAGCTCATCCACTCGATGTTTGGGGTCCAACGATTGTCCCATCCGTTGGTGGGAAGCATTACTTCGTGACTTTCATTGATGATCATTCCGTAAAGGTATGGGTTTACTTTCCGAAATATAAGTCGAAGTATTTGAAGCTTTCAAGATTTGGAAAGCTATGGTGGAAAATAAGACAGGATTGAAGATTAAGAAGCTCAGATCCGACAATGGTGGTGAATATGTAGACACCGGATTCAAGAAGTTTTGCTATGAGCACGGAATCGAATGGAGAGAACTGTGCGGTACGCCTCAACACAATGGTGTAGCTAAGCGTATGAATCGAACGTTGACTGAAAGGGCCAGAAGTATGCGTGTGCAATCAGGCTTACCAAAGCAATTTTAGGCAGAAGCAGTCAACACAGCAGCTTACTTGATCAACCGAAGTCCATCGGTACCATTGGAGCACAAGATACCAGAAGAGGTATGGAGCGGAAAAGAGGTAAAACTCTCACATCTTAGAGTTTTTGGTTGTGTAGCATATGCGCATATCGGTGATCAAGGCGAAACAAACTTGATCCAAAATCAAAGAAATGTACTTTCCTTGGTTATGGTGAAGATGAGTTTGGCTACCGCATATGGGACGATGAAAACAAAAATATGATCCGCAGCAGAGACGTAATCTTCAATGAAAGAGTGATGTACAAGGACGAGCATAATACAAGTGCCAGCAACTCGAAGCGAGTGGACCAGCTTTATGCGAAGTGGAAGATATCCCGGAAAGTCCTATAATAAGGAGTCCTCGACCGGAGGAATCAGTTGAAGAACCCGATGTGCAAGCGTAACCTCCTACTCCAACTCCCGTATTGAGAAGGTCTTCTCGGCCTCATGTGCCTAACAGGAGATATATGGACTACATGTTGTTGATCGATGGAGGGAGCCCGAAGATTATACTGGAAGCTTGTCAAGCCACGGATGCTAGCAAGTGGGAGCTTGCCATGAAAGACGAGATGAAGTCTTTGATCTCAAATCGGACATGGGAACTAGTCAAGTTACCTATGGGAAAGAAAACACTTCACAAAAAATGGGTGTATCGAGTGAAGGAAGACCATGATGGTTCTAAGAGATACAAAACTCGATTGGTCGTCAAAGGATTTCAGCAGAAAGAAGGAGTCGACTACACCGAAATCTTTGCTCCAGCTTGTAAAGCTCAATACTATCGGGACTCGTGTTAAGTATTGTGGCTAGTGAGGAGCTCTATCTAGAGCAATTAGATGTGAAGACCGCATTTCTTCATGGAGATTTAGATGAGGAGATCTACATGTACCAAGCCTCAAGGTTTTTCGAAGGAAAGAAGACCTTGGTGTGCAGATTGAAGAAGAGCCTGTATGCCCCGAAACAAGCTCCAAGACAAGTGGTATAAGAAGTTCGAAAGCTTCATGCACAAGGGGAGTTTCCGAAGTGCAACGCCGATCACCGTTGTTTCTTCAAGAGGTATAAGTCCAAGTTATATCATTTTGCTACTTTATGTTGATGATATGCTAGTAAGCGAGTTCAGATATGAATGAGATCATAAACTTAAAGAAGCAGCTTGTCAAAAGAATTTGACATGAAGGACTTAGGCCCAAGCAAAGAAGATTCTTGGAATGCAAATCACGAGAGATAAGCAAAAAGGAGTTTTGCAGTTATTTCAAGCGGAGTACATCAACCGTGTTTTGCAGAGATTCAACTTGGACAATGTCAAACCAGTCAATACACCTTTGGCTTGCCATTTTCGTCTATCCAAGGATCAGTCTCCTCAAACGAAGGAAGAAGAAGAGTTAATGGCTAAGATTCCGTATGCTTCAACCATTGGAAGTTTGATGTACGCGATGGTCCGTATGAGGCCGGACATTGGCCATGCAATGGGAGTTGTAAGCGCATTCATGTCAAATCCAGGAAAAGCTCATTGGGAAGCGAGTCAAATGGATTCCGAGGTATCTACGAGGCACAACAGAAAAATGTCCGTATTTTAGAAAAGGAGATCTAAAATTGCAGTGGCTACGTAAATGCGGACTTTGGAGGTGAAGTTGATCACGAAGAAACACCACCGGGTATGTGTTCACCGTTGGAACTACAACTGTTAGTTGGATGTCGCGGATACGTAAGATTGTTGCTTTATCCACTACGTAGGCCGAGTATGTAGTAGTGACAAAAGCCAGTAAAGAATTGATATGGCTTCAAGAATTGTTGGCAGAGTTGGGATTCATTCAAGAAAGGAGTGTTTTGCACAGTGATAGTCAGAGTACAATACATCTGGCAAAAAATTTAGCATTTCACTCCAGGACCAAACACATCGACATACGTTATCATTTCATCAGATCTCTACTTGAGGATGAGATGCTAACATTAAAGAAAATTTTGGGAAGCAAGAACCCAACATATATGCTAACAAAGGTGGTGACTATTGACAAACTGAAGTTGTGCTCAACTTCAGTTAGCTTACAAGGATAACAGACAAGAGAATACTACTATTGATCAAGGTGTGAGGATAGATTGAAATCGGTCCTCAAGTGGGAGATTGTTGGTCAAAGAAAGTGGGCAACCAACTTTCTCATTTGCACCGAAAGCACGGAAGAAAAGGGTGGCTGCCAATTTTTTATTCAAGCATGAGGTGCCCACGAGACATATTTTATGGTAATGCACAGTACCAATTTTTGCTATAAATTGGTCTTCTTCCTGCAAGCATAGTATTCCATCCCACACAAAAGTATTACTTCTCTTAGAGAAGAAAGAGTGGCACCAGCGAGAGACAGAAAAACTAGAGAGTTTTAGTTTAGCTTCTGGGTGTAATTAGATTGTAAGTTGTGAGTGTTTTTAGAGTGTTTTGTAAACATTTGTGTATTTTTCTTTTCTCCTAGTAAGAGATTTACAGTTGTCCGGAGACGTAGACATTATTGACCAAACTCCGTTATCAACTGGTGTGTGCAATTATTCCGCTTTTATTTCACTTTCACAAATCTGATCCCATATGGGGAAGATTCAACATATTTTTTCCAACATAACTTTTCTCCCAAAGCATTGGTTTCAACGTTCAAAGTGGAATTAGTCTCTAGTGCCTCTTTCAAAGAGTTCGACATCTCGGCGAGCTCCCCCTTTAAGCAAGCAAAGTCAGAGCTCTCATCACTCTTAATCACGTTAGCACGCAACCGCTTATCGAGGATGAGGGCACGGGTTTGGAGCTCAGCTTGAAGCATCTTTGAATGATCAGCACTTGTGTAGAGGTTGTTCTTCGTGACCGACATATCCATGGTCACCTTCGAACCAATATGGTGGTTGGTGCCCAAAAAGCGATTGGAGGAGTAAGCGGCGAAGCTCGGACTTGAAATATGAGTCTACATTCTCTTCAGAAAAAGGTGGGGAGAATTGTTGTGATGACCATAACTTTCTTTCTCTTTCCTCTTATGCTTTTTGTGTGCATCAGGAGGGGGGGAGCAAGTCAGTTGGAGGAGGAGGAAGAGGAACAATGACAGTAACCACTTTTCTTTTGTTGGAATTGTTGACGGTTTGCTGATGGAATTTACGAAAAAAGTGTTTGTTAGTAGGCATCTCGACAGCCATGATGTCTACAAAAAACCCATATTCAGCAAGGTCAAACAAACGAATGAGAAACGACTTCAAATAAAATAACACATATCATAATAGAGGTCGGAAAGACGATAGGGAGATAAATAGACTTGGAGAAGTTTTCGTGTGGGCAGTCGGTGGGGTAGTTGGTCGAAAATTCCCAGCATCCGGACGTCTTCGGATGACATCTCGGAGCGAGGCCATTTTTTCAAAAGTAAAGGATTGCAAGTCCAATACAACGAGAACTTTGGTTGGTTGCCTTCGAAAAAATACTCTCGACTAAGGGGCTAGATGACCACTTTGAAGAAGCTTCCTTTGAAATTCTTATACAAGGATGTGTGCGATGAGAAGAAGGTGGAGGTTCGATGACCAATCAAGGACAACCAACTCACTGGAGAAGTGGTCAGGTACTAAAATGTAAAAGAAAAGCCTGAGGCATCGACCGTAGATGCAAACCTTCACACAAAATATGGAACGCTAGTAAGGTGGCCCAACTATTCGGATGTAGTTGTGTCGGTGCAATGTTTAACATGTGAAGGACACCCATGGTAAATTTGTCAAAGGGAGATGAACATGTATATCCGAGAACAAGTAGAAATACATATAGAAGTATTTCGCATTTCCTTCCCGGTTGTGACAAACATTATCCATAGCACCTCAACGACGAAGCATGACTATCGTGTCTGGAGCACCCTTGGGCAATAGATCCTGGTACTCAATAAATGACTTCAGCAAAATCGACCACTAATATTTCGAGTAGTAACTGTGTACACGATGGTCCACCCAATTGTAACCTTGTTTTGATAGATCATCAACAGCTCGATCAGGCATCAGTTCCTTCCACAACATTACTAGAGGAGGGGCAATCCCCAACAATGACCAAGTCATCAGTAGCCATGGCCGATGAGTCAGCGGAGGCACATTTCACACTATCCCCTCTCAAGCGACCGACCGATATACCCTCCACCTACATCGACGACTCACCTGCAGACTTTTCGTAATGAGAGGAAGAAGAATGGAAAGATCAATTCATGTTTATATTGGAGTAGAAAGAATGACAACAAATAGGATAGTGAGAGAGCAAACAGAAGAAGAAGGCAGAGCACTTCACAGAGTAGTATATCACAAGGCCAGAAAACGTAAGAAATGCCTCAACCACCCCATTATATAGGGACAAACACACAAAATGAGGCCCTCTCCCAATCCTGACCATTGGATCTCCTTTAAATAAAAAACTCACCATAACAGGGGCATTTGAGAGCGGGAAATTATTTCAAAATTCCCTCATTTCTTTCTCACATCATTTCACCCATAAAGACCAAAGTTATCTCGGATGACAGACGGTCTCCGGTGACGACATGAGTGATCAGTAAACTAGCAAGTCCTCCACCACCACTTCAAATCTGAACACTCAATGGATGTGTCATAATATTTTATGACGAACGGTCCGAACTTTGAGAACATATGTATTGTATTATACTAGAGGATTCAATATAGTCTCATCCCGAGAAGCCCCAGGTGATACCACTCAGTCATGATCACATAAATACTTTGTAGCATTTATATGAGAGGTAAGATAACTATTTTACAAAAATTTTGTTAACAAACTGTATTATTACTGAGTGTCTTTGAATATATCTCCTCACACATCTTTCAATATCGGAAATCGAAAACAAAAATCGAACATCATGGACTCCGGGATAAATATTGGATCCCATAGCAATTGATGAAGTATAAGGGAGTGATAATTTTAAAATCAAATTAATTATTGATAGAATGAAAAAAAAATTTGTAATTATGTAAAAATTCCACTTATAGAAGAAAATTATTTACTTTAACGATTTTATGAAATACAGTAAAATATGACATCTAAACATCTTAATTTAATAAAATAATATTTGAGTTGATAATAAATTATATTTCACAAAATCAAACGTGAATTTATCACCGCTCTTGACAGAAATAGAAATTATTTACAAATTTTAGTTGCAACCACGGGTGAAAAACTGTACCTCGGTGATGCTTTTTGTTTAGAATAGGACATGGAATTAGGGGGCAGAGAATTCGGACTTGATGGTAAGAAAAAATTGAAGTTTACCAAAAGAAAGTGAGTGTTGTGTTTGAAAAGAATGTTGAAAGTGCAGTATATCGAGTGTACGAATGGAAGAGGGTGAAGTTTCACATAAGTAAATAAAGTGAGCCTGTGGACATGTTGAAACATATGCTGTGTGCATTTATGGCTTGATGTCTACATTGTTTAGATGAAATTGATGACCTGCTCTTCCAAATCAACACACAGTCATGTCCTTTTGCTCCAAAACCGATTTGATTTAAACCTGCACTGCACTCTGCACCTGCAATTCCTCATCTTCCCCACCCAGCCACCTCCATCCATGTGATTGCTTCCTAACCACTCTTTATGGTAACCTCCCTATTTAAAACATGCCTTTTTCACCCCATCTTTCCCATTTTCCTATTTTCTCCCCCACAAATAAATGCCATGGCTTTTTCTTCTTTCTCAATAATAACTTCCACAACCAATTTTTTTAAGTATACCAATTAGAAAACCCATTATCAATATTAAGTTTTTATAATTATTATTTTAAAAATATAGGTATAAATGATTTTGATTAGTTTAACTTGAAGTACATAAAATAATAAACTTTTGTTAAAATAGTACTGGCACTCTTGTCTCTGTCTTTGTGCCTATATAACAACATGTGGAATGAGAGGTAGAGAGAGAGAGAGAAAGTTTTGTGAGACATCTTTTCTCTTCCTCAAAGGAACATAATGGATTCTTCTTCATCATCAGGAGCAAGTGTTAGTCAGCATGCCAAGGTTGTTCCAAAACAATGTGACATCTTCCATGCAGGAAAGTACCCGTCATCTCGCAGGACTCATTCCTCCTCCTCCTCTTCCTCCTTTGAATCATTCTATTTCCCTGAGGATCCACTTCTTAGTCCTGCATCTCCCCTTAGATTCTCAGGTGTTCCATTTTCTTGGGAACACTTACCTGGAATTCCCAAGAAACAGAATTCCAAAAAGAAGCTGCAGGAATCATCCTTGAAACTACTCCCATTGCCCCCTCCAACCACCACACACTCTTCTAAGAAGCTCAGTCATGAAGAAGAAAGGGTTAGGAAGAAGAATTCAATACAAGGTGTTTTCCAAAGGGATCCTTTCTTAGCTGCACTGGTGGAATGCTCAAAGGATGATAGCGAAGAAACAAGAAGAAATTTGTGGAGTGGAGCTAAGGTGCCAAGGAGCGTCAGTGATCGTTTTGGGTTCATTAGCCTTTATGCTTCTTGCAAGAGAACTTGTGCTGTTTCTGAGTCTTTAGTCTACCTTCCAAGCTCAAGAAGAAGCACCTGTGAACATGTTAGTCCCAGGTCCCTCTAAGCTTGTGAATTGTGATGATGCTGTCAATGTCCTTTTGTTCATGTTGTTGTAAGAAAACCCAGAAAGAGGTATTTGTTTCCCTCTTTTCTTAAATTTTTTACACCTTGATCTTTGTTTTTAGTTTCTAAAATATTGTATGTGAAGACAAGTTTGTCTTTGGAAACCCCAGCTATTGTAATATGTTAATACAAGTATAGGAAGTAGTGCTTGTCTCCTTCTGTTAATTCAGAGATCACTGATGACTGATGTTTAATTTTTTTTATCTCTTCGGTTTTTGTTTTCTGGTATCAAACACCTAAATCTCTGAACACAATATACGCTCTTTGCTGTATTTCATGTGATAACAACACGTGATGAGTGAAAAATACATGATCCATGTATAAACAATGTACCGGACCACAGTGGAAAGAGGCTGCCAAATTATTGATTTGACTTTTTTTTGTTTTTTTCTATTCTATGTGCACCTTTTGTATTTGCAAGTGTATCATATACGTATGAATGTGATTCCCAAAGATTTTGAGTGATGGCTATAGTGGCTTCTGACGTTGATAACAAAAAGTTGTTGAGCTAACCTTCTCTTTCTTTTAAATGATAGCACGAGTACGTAAACACTGTAGTCTATCTGTACAAACTACAAACTTAGTATACCCTAAACAAACATGTAAGGCTTGGGTTAGGCTCTATCTATATACATGAGGTGGCTGCAGAATTAATACACCTTTTCAAATACTTTTTTAAGGTTATAAATAGTGGTGAACGAAATCATGGCACCCTCAAATGATATCTGCCTCTATCATTCTGATTCCCCAGAATATATTAAAGTTTTGGATATCTTGAATGGAACTTCACAAATTGAGTATACCCTTTAGTTGTCATGCAGTGTAAGCTATAAAAAAGAGTTAATTAACTTTCATATTCCTACATATTTTCCTTTTTCTGCTAAGGTGAGATCTCATTTCAGGTCCTTATTAAGGTGATTTGATATTGAATTTCAGAGATATGGATCCTTAATTTCGTGTCTTTCATCACCATTAGTATTCTGCTGAAACAAAAATAAAACCATCACTGATTTGTTTTGTACAATCACAGTACAATCAATTTAAGCCACATGCTCCGTTTGGTTTTAGCATTTAGTGACACTTCCGTGTAGATTTTGAACAGCCAAAAGTGAGAAAATGTTTTTAGATTATTATAATGATATTTGTAACTTTTAACGAGCATTTAATACCAAAAATTATACGTGTGGGTCACATATAAGTAAGTGGAGTAATTTTATATATATATATATATATATATATAAATTATACCAACCTACACATTAAGTGAAAGTCATAATTATTCATTTAGTGGAGTTCAACTATTTGTAGAAACATATTCATCTGATACATTACTGTACGTCACCTCCCTCAAGGGGAAAAAAATAACGTATTTTAGGGAAAAAAGAAGAGACAAGTGAAGAAGCACCAACTATGATGATTCAACTACACCATAATTGATTAGACAATCTTAGAGCTCAAGTAATGTAAATGGGTCCATCTGGTTTTCCCCCACATGGTTTCAATATATTCAATGCATTTGATGTGACAGATCTACTAGCTAGATACTATTTAAATCCATAGATATTGAAAGAAAATAAGCGTTATCTTGATGTTTTAAGTCTCTATGTTGGTGTAAAGATCAAAGCCAAAACCCCCTTTATCTTTGTTATAACTTTGGCTGTGCTGCATATGATGAAAGATACGCGAGCATATATCTTTATGTCATGTTTTACGGTAGTGGATGTGCTCAAAGCTGAGACTGCATAATGAGGAAGAGGCCCATCTGCTTCTGATATGGCATTATTCCGCAAAGTGGTATCTCTTGGTTATCATAACCGACGCTCAAAAGAGCATTAAGAAAAGGGACTCAAGTCAATGCGACTGCAATGGTAGGTTGTTTTTATTATTGAAAAGGGATCATGAGGTAAGCTATGGTGTCACTTTAACACATTTAAAACAAAACTAACACAAATCTTCACAACTGGAAATTGGAAGAACTTTGCAGACAAAAAGTTAGTAGCAGATGCTAATGTGCATGGAAGTACATGAGAAGGTGAGTGGTACATATTACAAGCCAGAAATGTGACGAGTTCTGCAGTTGGATTGCACATTAAATTGCTACTTTGATGTTCAATTAAAGTTCCATGAGGTGTATACTTTTATCCTCACGGGAATTAATGTGCTTCTCAGAACTCGCTAACGTGTCTATGCCTCATTCATCATGATATATATACACTGATAAGATAAAAAATTAAAGCTTTTAAATGTAATTAATCATTTATCATTTATTGTGCATTAAACGCTTCAGCCAATCCAACAGTTACAAATTTTAAGTGGCGGAGAGAGCTACTTTTGAAAAACAGGTAAATTGGATAACTCAGTTATTCAGATTTAGTTATACCAACTACCATGTTTCTTTCACACTTAGGTTATTTATTCATATATTTAATATAAGTAACACTTCCTTTTTTCTTCAAACCCTATTTGTTGAGTCAACTTAAAATTGTGCGTTTCAAAGTAGTTCCAAGATCTTTTTTATGAGCTTTCCTTTCTTAGTAAAAAATCCTCAAGCATTGAGAGTGTTTACAGATTAACATATATTTTTTCATACTTTTTTTTATCAAATATCCAACTACATATTTTAAAAAAGACATATTTATCTATCAACTATACCACATCATACTAAATTCATATAAAGTTTCACAAATTAATTTTCTTTCTTCATTATGATAATATAATTTTTTTAAAATAATCATGTTAATGCCAAAATGTTTTCTAATTCTAAAAGCACTAAGCTTAAACTTATAAATTTGATATTTTTATTCATATAAATTGACAATAAATGTTGAAAATTCACACTAGTTCTTAAACAGTTTTCAATCAATTGAGTCTTGATGTCAAATTTGATACTTATTCATATTTTGAAATATACGAGATTAAATAGTTTTCAACCATTTGGCTATAGTATTATAATCATATAGTATAGGGTGTTAATTACATGATTCTGATCTAAGATTAGAAATTTAAGTATATTTAAAAAAATAAATTTAAATACAATTTGACCAAAAATTAAGTGTTTGATTTCATGGTGTACTAATATTAGAAAATAACAGGTCATCCAACACATGGATCGAGATTCTCTACCATTTTAAAATATTCATTATGTTAACTGTTCCACTTAATCCTTTCTCTCTCTAAAAGTAATAAAGAAATGGATCACAGTTGAATTATTTTACAAGCGAATTTGTTGTTGCTTAAAAATTATATTACCTTTAGAAAAATTGATACGTATAGTGTGTTTTTCTTGTGAAAACAACCCGTGAGTAGAAAAAAAAGAACAGAACAAAAGAAGGTTCCAAAAATAATAAATAACATTTTGAAAATATTGCATTTTGTGTATTGAATGTTTGAAATCTCATAATTCATGGTGGTCGGGAACGTGGGAAAGTAAGAGAGACAGAATATCACAAACTTGTTCTGTCAGATCAACATTTTCTCATCTTTCTCTTCCAAAATCTATTTTTCTTGAATAAATAATATCCCTTCCTTCATCATCATAAATGGTTTTTCTTCTTTCCTCCATTACCCTCTTCATCTCCCAAAACTCTATCATTGCTCCAAATTCCAACTATTTCATATTCTAATTATTCTGCAGCACTACATGGCCCACCTAGTCACTATATGCTGCCCCAGTTCGTGTGCCTCATTACCTATTCAGTTGAAACATAATAATAATATTAAAGATTTGTTTTTCTTTTTAATTTGGAAAAGGGAATAATTTTGTTCTACAATAACAACTACGTGATGATTTTTCTCCCGTTATCATCATCATAATATGAAGGGAAGTTGCAAAAATAGCTTCCCACGCCGACAGTTTTTCCAGAAATAAATACCAGGTTTATAGGGAACTTTATTGCTTCATGTTGAAGACTCCTTAGGAATTGGGTCTTTCACTCACTCTTTCAGAGAGAGCACCCCAAAACGTGGATCTAATGCAAGCATGCGTGCTCAGAGAAGAGTTATAAGAATGATGGCCTGCTACACATTGAATCTTCCTAGCATAAGAGAAAATACATGTTTGACTAAATTGCTACATTCAAAACTTCAGGCATGTGTAAGTGTAACACTGTTTACTGTGAAGTTGGAAAGAGAAGGTAAAATAAGAACTCTGTCACTCACTATTATATTAAAATCAAGAAAATTGATTATATCTGGCCATTATAAGACAAAGATAGATGAATAAGAGTAGTCAAACTGCAATTAATATTCTAGTGTGTACTTTGAGTTGCGTATAGTTTAAGAGTCCAATGTTCAAATGCTAACAATTCGATATAGTTCAACCAAACGGTGTAAAAAAGTTGATACCTCTCTTCATTTTTTACAGATATTTTCCTTCCAAGAGAATCAACATTGTTCGATTTGTCATGAGAGATTAATCCTGACCTGACTACCTCTTACAGTATATTTCTTCTGTTTCACTTCACATTTATATATTCTGAGAAAAGAGAATCAAAGAGTATCGATGAGAGAGTGACAGGTATAATATACTGTAATAATAAGTTTGACTCGACTGGTTTGATGTAATGAAAATGTATAAAAAAGAAGAAAGAAGAGAAAAAAATGCAAATGGCAAAGCATGACACGTACGAAACCACAGGCATAGGAATTTGAATGACCTAAGTGTGACGCATACGTTAGTGTTGGAAGTCTTCCCATCAATCCCAATTGTCTGAAATAAAAGAATTCAAACTCTAAATCAAATATACGTTTTAATGGCAGAATTAAGAACATTTCATTTACTGGGATTGTGCTGTCATCTTCATCTTGTGTCCTAAGACATTACGCATATGCTCTGCACAAACACTAACGTTTTTGTTAAGGAATCTTACCACATTCACTCTTATCTTCTTTCTTGCCTTAATTATATTTTTATGTCCTCCACTATCCTAATTAATCTTTTCAATTTTAATTTTATTTGTTACAACTCAGTTCCTTTTATTCTTATTTATTTAATATTTAAATCATTATATTATTTATACCATGTCAAGACATTACTTTTACAAATTGTGCTATTCAAAATGTTGTGTGAATTATATACATTGAATGCATTTATTTAATGATTATCTTGATCCTATTTTTCTTTTATATTATATTTTAGACTGCCAAACTTTTCAGGGTATAATGTAAGAGTAAAATAGAGAAGAGAGATACAAAAAAATAGACAAAAAAGTATATACTATTTCATTAATTGGATGGAAAAAAGTAGAGAAAAATATTTTTATGTATTTGATAAAGTAAAATGAAAGAAAAATAAATAAATTATGTTGAAAATATTTTTATATTAATTAAAAATATAAACTTTGTCCTATTATTTTTTTCCATAGTATAATTGCTTCTTCTAAACTTTGTTATTAAAAATAAAACTATTTAAGTGAGATTGAAAAAAAAATTCATGTTGCTATCATTTTATGCCTTGGAAAACATATTTTTGAATAAACTCCACATAAATAACTGCCTGTTATTTTTCTCAAATAAATAATAAAAAATAATTTTTTATCCTATCTCATTTATTATTTTCTTATTCTTGCATCTAAATCATCTAATTAAATAAAATAAAAATATTATATTACGATGTAACCAAATCGGTAACTTAGTTTACATGATTAAAAACTCTCTATCCAAGTGAATAATAGTTAGTGATTAAAAAAATTCCCTAACGATTACAAAAGAGTTTATCTCAATTACAGCTATTACAACACAGAAGTAAATATAATTTTCATCATATATTTAATAATATAATATCAGAATCAATTCTATCTTCACTAAATATACGTAAATATAGCAAAAATACAATAATATTATAATATATAAATAAAATTCTCATCATATTAAATCATTTTTAATATTATATTATATTTATCTTTCCTCGTGAGACCGTGTAAGGGAAGCTTCTTAAACTCTCACATTTCGCTCTCCAAATCAAACCTTCTTTCATTGTTGTTCCATCTTTTAGTCGCAATCTAACACCGAGAAATACCACTATCCTTCGTAAAAGTGTATTAGGATTCTAGAGTAGACTACGGTTCTATTTAGGAAGAAGCGAAGCAAAAGTTCAGTTTTTCAATTCTAGGAGAGCGTCTCATTAGTTTTTCAATTTTTGTAATCGGAAAGATGATGAGTAGTTACAAAATTCACGCACAGAAATTACTATTAACCAAAGATGTCACACAAGGTATTCAACATGTGTCTAGTTATAAATTGTCTCTATCAGGAAACCAGAAAAGTTTACATTGCGGTAGAGCTGTATGTTAACATTTGCCAACCATAGCATATATATTATTAACAAAACAACTCCGAAATTTTATATGCATAATAGATACTCACTTTCAATTAGATGATCAAGTGAAGGTAAGACCAGAGTATCACATGATCACTCATCATGCAGTTGGACAAATCCACAGGACAGAACATAAAAAACTCGTATAACTTCAATCTGTCTATACAGCCCAACATTCTCTTGTTAGCAGTTGACTATACTTTGAAATCAAGGCCATGAAAACATCAATATTCAAAGTAAAAACAATACACACGATTGACTGTACGAAAGCTCACCAACCTAAAAATGTAAGAACCTCAACCAGCAAATGTAAATGAAACTAACATCACGAAAAGTTATAATGTACACCAGGTGCCAAGAAGGAAGCAAATGCCAGAGGGGACAGTGGTGGGGAATGCCAAGGCATAGCATAGGACTAGAGCACCAGTCATCACATGGCCACCTTTTAGTTCAAGACTTGGTAATTGCTGGCTCAACTGCATGGACGTCTAAATCATATATATATAATGACATTGAACAATTTAACATTCCGGAAGGGAGTGTGTCGATGCAAATGGTGAGAAGCTTGCAGCTGACTCACTATAACGAAGAGGATGTTGTTGCTGACTGGATGAACCCATATAACTCACTGAAGCATTGCTTGGACTTGGAATGTATGGAGACATGTACCTTGAGTTAAGGGATGACAAAGATGGATACCCTGTGGAATGTGGGGAATTCAAGTGAGAAGCTAGTGATCTTTGGGATGAATTCCTAAGATCTACTGAGCTTCGGCTGATGCTTAGGGAGGGAGATTGATGGTAGGAGGACCTAAGAGATGGTTGAACATAAGGTGTACTGGCAATGGAGTAGTTACGAGAAACAGATGGGGTCTGGGAAGCTGGCCCGGCAATTTGTATTGCTGAAGATGAAGCTAGTGATGATCTCACAGAAGATATAACAGAGGATGCCACAGATGCCGGGCTTGATGAGAGCAAGGGTGTGGATTCTGAAGGTGGTGGCTCAGTTAAACCAGTTCTTGCATCACGCTTGCAAACTGGACAAAAGGTTCTCCATGAGGTAAGCCAAGAATCCACACAGGCAGCATGAAACTCTGCCAATAAATCATCAAGAATAACAAATTAATATAGTCTCTATAACAGTCATAATTTAACATGCACATAATACAAATATATAATACGGGCAGCAGAGATTAATTATGTTAAGCAACAAAACATCAATAGCATGTAATGTACCGCAAAATCAAAAACAAGAAAAAAAATTATAAACGCTGAAGCTAACTCAAGGAGTCACGAACATTGTCTACAAATAAAAAAAATTAAAAGGAGGTGATGAATGAGCATTCACTATTTCAAGGTGTGATTTAGGATGAAGAACACTCTTTCATCTAGTGCATTACACCACACATATGCAGTTTTAGAATTCATAGAGCCACACACAAGGCCCAGATAGTTATTGTACTTCCATTTTTTTTTCCAATAACTTCAACGACAATTATTTTTCTCGTATCCCAGGTCAAATCTGCACCTTTCAACCCATTGGGTTGACTACTTCAATTTTGAGATATGGATTGCAAATTAGAAAACTTCTTAAATCCATTTCCCTGCCAGGTCATGTTATGAGAATTTTATACAATCATCCATCAACAATTTTATTCACATGTAAGTCAGACCAAATTTCACATAAATAAAGTAATTTGTTTAATTTGCAGTACTTTTTAACTTGTGAGGAGTACGGAGATCAAATTAAACTTCTAAATAAATCGTCCCATCATTCTACTGTAAAAAACATTGAGTAACAGTTCTTTGTTATAGTTACTTCACAACTGACATACTTTAAATTTTAAAGAATAAGATGGAATGAATATTTTCTAACCATCCTTGCAAATGTCTGTTTTAGGTTGAAGGTTAAAAAAAACAAGATAGCACAAGAGGGTTACTGGTTTTTGTTTTTGCTTTCTTAAAATACAATTCAACACCTTCAATTTGTTAGTAACTCAACCCGAAAAATAACTGTTAACATGCCTCCATTGGCTAAAGAATAAGGTCAGGATATTACTTTTGGGCAACAATCCTCTCTTGTGCTAGCTTTTGGAAGTGATTTAGGCTCAGTCCATTTCTGATATAGTATCTGATAATGGGTCAGCCAAACACACAACCCAGACACCAGTGTGGATGAAGGATTACAATTAGTGTTTATTTCTTTTGGTGTTCTATCGTTGTTATGAACTTGATTTTGGTTTTTGGGGTTGTCCTTTTGGACCTTACTGCAATCTTGCCCAGTATATGTATTACTCATTATGGACTAGGGCAATGAATGAATATTTCTCCTAAATTATCTTTGTCTTTGTGTTGTTTCCTTTGCCCATCTCTTTCTTGAGTTATAGTAGCTGTAGCCTAACAGTATCATAGTCCCTGTCTATTGGGCTATCAGTAAAAGTTCAGTCGCACAAACTTCACACTTAAAATGTTCAGTCTTGGGTTTTGGGTGTGTTAAAATCCCCACATTGGCTAAGGTAATGGTCGGGATACTGCTTATAAGACTTGGCAACCCCCTCGGTTGAACTAGTGATAGGGATTTGGATCGATCCTGCCACTTCTATATTAACATTTCATAGTATAATCAAGATTGTTTATACTTTTAATTTTTATAACCATTAGATATAAAATCAATACTTAAGATCAATGCTACAGAGGGAAAACTGCTGGAGAGGATCCAAATCCAGCGATAGGGGACTTGGGTATTATGGGATGCCCGAATCCCACATCGAGTAGTATAGAATACTCAGTGGAGTATATAACTAGCTTTTGGAAGCAAGTTAGGTCTGTAGGATTCTATAAAAAGTAATTAACTGTTATTCCAAACAGTAAACTAACAAATTTCCAAACAGCTAAAACTAACACAAACTTTTAAGGGAAAAAAATTGTTATAAAATGTTATAATATCTTGATAAGAGCTTAATTAAAAGTTTGAGGGATCTTCCGGATTTCCAAATAGGTATTTCAAGGTGACAACTTATCATTTAAAAACAGGAAAGGGGAAAGGAATGACAATAAAACACACCAAAAGGATCCAAGTCAGAGTTCCCCTAACAAAGTGGGTAGCATCAACTATCAAGTAATATAAGGAAGAGGAACTGCATGTTGAAAGTAGGTAGAACCTAGAAAGTAGACTTGCTCCCAGTTTTCCACTTAAAAAAAATCCCATTAGAAGACTTATTTTTTTGTTTTAGTCTTTATATGTTGCAAAAGAATGTGATTTCACTTTCAATTTCAGTAAGGACTATTTGTGGTGATCAACATCAATGATACAATGTCAAATTGAAAACGTCTGAGATTTAAACTCACATCGTTAAATTAAAAAGAAAACACCACAGTTTAATCAACTAATACTTAAACATAGTTTGTGGATAAATATAAGGGAGAAGCTGGAACATGAATGTAATCGTTCAAGCAAAGAAATATCCTGCTTGAGGCCTCCCAGCAATGCAAATAATTTATTTTATTATGATCACCTAAAAACTAACAACTGTCATTGTATACTTATTTCCAATGAACCCTAAGTAGATAGCTGGGAAAATAGCTAACACCTACTTCAGGATCAACGACATCCTTATTTGTCAGGTAATGTTAACTGATATTACACTAGAAGTTTAAAAACAAAATGTGGTGGATATCAAATATCTTAACTCGGGATCAACATTAGATCCAACAATGAATGCACAAAGTACCAGGAAATTCAAGTAGAACAATGGCCCAGTACATAAGCATACACTGAAGAGATGAACCAACAAAATAATTTATTGCATTTAAAAAAAATGTCATGGGAACACTTACTGTGACAGCAGGGCAGAATCCTGAGTTTCTCGCCAACACAATAGTCTTCAAGGCATATAGCACATGTTCTTGATGTACAGTTGTCTTCCAAAACAGCAGTAAATATCAAACTTGGCATTGCCTTCACTAGGCGACTACTCATACCATGAAATTCACGAACAAGAGAAGCCCGAGGCCTTTCTCTTCTTATGCGATGCCTGCGGACAAAGAAACAAGTAGCCAGCACCGCAGACATTGCAAGTAGGGAAATAAATGAAATTGCCATGATAGACCATGCTGAATTTTCAAAAGTTGGAATGAGCCATATTTCCACATTAGTCCACCCAGCATAGTTCTTTAGTATTTCACCAGAAGCTTTAGATACAAATACAGCGTGTATTTTTATACCAGCAGAGTTTCCTGCCACTGAAACTCAAAGAATTGTGAATTAGAACTTCCAAAATATGATGTAGCTGTTTGAAAACATATACAATATGTGCAAGAAAGTAAGAAATCTACCCAACGATAAGTTATATTTAATATTCATTCTTTGACTATACAATTCACATGGTTGACAAGTGTCAAATTTTCAACCACATCTTGTATATAGGTCATCATCCTTTCCATAAGTTGTACGTTGAAAATATAATCCATCAACTACACATAATCCCCCAATACATCCAAAGTTTCAGACTGTAGTGCAATTATTGTTGACGCCCCAATTTCAATGATCGTACAACATCTACTCAAACATTGAATGAACATGTTCCTCTAACCTTCCATTTAGCATAATAAGACAGGAAGAAACAATCCCGAATACATGTCTTCCAAGTGAGATCATATTAATCAATTCCATTCATAGAAACTTGTACAGGAAACAATATAATCTCTTCTAGGGTTACGAAAATCATAATTAATGTAACATTGACAACTTCCACTATCCAATGATGAATCTCTAATCTGTGCAAAACCATTTTGCAACAACCAGTGAGTATATATTACAACACAAGTTATCTATGGTGATTGTAGAAAAAACAAGTTTAGTGACAATTGAATGCGAGACAGGATAATGAACAAATATAACTTGTATATAAAAATTGGTCATTACTCGCAACCAGGACACCGCCTTCTTCATCGTCATACACAATTACAGCTTTGAAGCCAGCCCTTTGCGCCCTTCTGATTTTTTCCTCAAAGCTACATCCCCCTCGAATCACCAAAGCAAAAGGTGAACTCACATTGGGAAGTTGTTCAACTTCATTTGTCAGTTCTGTACATGCATCAAGTGGGTCTGCCAAATATAAGACTCCATATTCTCCAGAACCTTTGACTGTTGGAGCTGAAACCAAAAGACATTCATGTCAACAAAAAGAATTTATAAAAACAACATCCACACACCATCACATGCAAAACAACATCAGCACAACAACATAACACCACATTTACATTCTTCATCACTATTTTTATTCCACCAAGAAACATGAATTTAGTGTTACAATTACAAAAATCTTGAATTCACTTTATAATGACAGGCATATCATACCATAGCAGCATCTACTGTTTCATACCCCCAAATCATTTCAAAAACTTTTTTTTTTCACTTTTTATCCTCCTAACCACAGTAAGTCTCTCTCTCTCTCTCTCTCTCTCTCTCTCTCTCTCTCTCTCTCTCTCTCTCTTAAATTTCTAACATGACAGAAAGTTTCAGCTCAAGAAATTCCTAGTCGAACAATATTGCTGGCATGATCCTGGATCGAAAAGTTGAACTATTTTCCACTGACAAGGCTGCACCAAATCAGTACCCATCCCCCAAATTGAAATTTTCAATATGGCCCGAAGACCAAAACCACATCCTCCCTCGACCAAAACAGTCTATACACAAAGCACATTAAATCTAACTTGGGAGGAGAAGAAATAGCCTAGAAAACTCACCAAAATTAGCTTCAATATCATCGAAGGAGAGAGTGATATTGTTCCCAATAAGCACCACCTTCGCAGCCGCCATAGCACACAGACTCACCAAAGAGAAGAATAAGAGTAGATTCGACGAACCCATCAGAGCAAAAGATTCGGTAAGCACAAAAGCACAGATTTTTGGCTGGAAATCATACAAGGGAAAGAGAGAAAAGAAGAAATTGGGATTTCTGCAATTTAGGGTTTTGAAAACGCAGCAAAAATAATAGAAACATCAGCTTCCATCTCAAAAAAAAAAAAAGAATGAATCTTCTAATCCGCTATTCCTGGATCCTCTCCGCTTTACTTTGCTTCGATTTCAAATTGATCGCGAATAATGTTATGACAGCAAAATGGGAATATAGTATCAATATATACCAGAAAATATAAATCAATAATATAATTCCACATGAATAAATTAAAAAATGATTATAAATTGAACAAATTGTTGTTTGTTTCTTATATCAGAACAAACAACAAATGATAATATTAGGTTATGGTTTGTATTACATCATAGAATATCATAGGCAAGCTGTTCCATGAGTGATAATTTCCCTTAATCCAAAATTTTCTACGATATAATAACAGAAATTTCCTTAATATAGTATTTTTTTACTTATACAAAATTTATATTAAAAAATTACCTAAAGAAAAGCAGGCATGTATAATTTTATTAAAAATCAATTATATCAATTACATATTAAAATATACAACTCGTCTTTAACAAATAAAAAATTGTCTGGTGTCTCACACTTATTAATATTATCAAATTAAAAGTTGTGTTAGTTTAGTTTACCCTGACAACACCAATGTTCCAGAGTCTCCATTACCATTAGCCCATACACATGTCCTCTCCAACCTCGATTTTTTATTTATTTATTTGTAAATTAATAATAGTTTTAAGCGTTCATAAAATGGAATATTCGAGGATCGAAAAAGAAAGTACGATGTACCTTTTCATTGCTTTTTTTTATCACATCTCATTGTTTTAGATTAGTTATAAATATATTAATTAAATTTTTTATTACTTTTTACAATTACTGTTTTTTGTATTTATTGATTACAAATTTAAATTAAAATGGAATTAAATAAAGATATAAAATGTGGATTGCATAAATATTTAATATATAATATATAATATAACCTTTTTGGTGAATTAAATCCTTTTAATATAATATTAAATGTTTTATTATTTAACTTCATCATTGATTAAAAAAACTACAAACTCTCAATGTAAATACGACTTCTGAGATTTTAAAAAATAGAAGATAACAGCTAAAGTGGCATATCATTTTAATGTTTTTTTTTAAATAAAAACAAAAAAAAAATTATCAAACGAATCATCTCTTAGAATAAAACCATTTAATCAAAAATATTTTTTTAATTAATATTATATTAAAAAATAGATATAAATCTAACTTAATCATAAGAAAACCAAAACTAATATCTATGAAGGAGATAGATAATAATAATAAAGTTAACACTTGCATCATTGTGATGTTTAAAGTAATAAATAAGCCTTTATTGTTCATGTTTATAGCCAGTGATGTGGTGGAAATGAAAAGGGATGAGTCTGGACAGTACTCAAAATTATGGAGATTCGCCCTCAAATTATAATATTTACACATACCGATAGGTATGGTAATTCTAAAGCCAGCTAGTTTCTACAGTAGTCCTGACCACGTGCTCTGATTATCACTCTTTATGCTAATTTAGTCGTCCTTGTCACCTGGTTTATACTCTTTGCTTTCAGCTTCGGAAACAGAACTGCTTGCATGATCAGCTTGAACTTGATTCGGTACAGGGTGGTAGTCATCACCTCCTTTGCTGAAGGTCTGAATAAGTATCAGTACTGCCACAACAAAAACAATGATATACACCATTCTGATGTCAAAAGAACGATGGATATATCGCATCAGTGAAGGTCCACTAAATGTTTTCTTTATGGTTCTTCCTTCCCTGTATCCTTCAAGAAATTTAGAGATTTGAGTTGCCTGATCCTCCCCCTCAATGCTTTCTGAATCAACGACCTGAAAATCATTTAAAACATGATATTGGCTTCTCACATTGTGAAAAATATTACATACAAATGTACAAAAATAAGCAGATTTAAGTTTACATAACCTTGATATGAACAAACAATTCATGTTACCAGTTGATAGCAAAATCAACAGGATGGAAGTCTAGTCAACTAATCAAAGTGCATAAGTTAACGGGTAAAAGGATGTATCTGAAAGTTCCAAATGAAACAAGGACATTGATAATATATCATGGACAAATGCACTTCACTCCTTCATAACTGATGAGCACAGTTCACAGTTCATCTGAAAGAGATACATTATATGAAAGAGTTTTCTGACATAACTGCATTAATATTGGAAGTGAAACATAACAATGAGAACTAGTACATTGAAATTCAATAAAAGCTCCATTTGACATTATAACTGGCGATATACATTCCCTTGAGATATACACAAAACTCTTGAAAGGAAGAAAGATAAGATGTGGAGAAGAGGTTTGATTCATTTGAACAAACTTTCCAACAATCACTTCTCCCAAATAGGTTTGAGTTATTACTTTTTAACAATTTTTCCAATAATCACTTGCCCCAAATAAGTTTGAGTTGTTACTTTTTTTAAAAACAGATGGTAAAAGTATGCAAAATCCCATCAACGCCACCAACCGTAAAAATGAAGAACCAATAGAGGCTAGTTCACGGCATTCAGGTGAAATATCACAAGGCAATCCTTCAGCTCATGATCATAGGAGATGCAGATTTATAGCAGTTCACATGGAGGCATTTAGTATGCTCACATATGCTCACACATCCTCACCAATAAGCAAGACACCCCATACTAGGACACTAATTTTGAAATGCTGGGCGGGGCTTGTAGGAATGGGTGACACATGGCAAGTGGCAATCAAGACCCTTAACATAGGGACATTAAGCTCCGGGTATACCAGGGAATCTAAATTCTCACTTCTATTTTAGATTCAAAGTCAGAATAAGAGACTTTTCTCCAGCTTCACAACGCATCTTGAAAATACACAAGTATATAATATAGATTCAAATTGCTAAAACAATAAACATGCAAGAGAAGAGTATCAACATGAGAAAACTACGCATGTAAATAAGAGTACAAGGCAAATAGATACAGCAGTACACATCATTTGGAGAATTAGAATTTGGATATGCTAAAACCATTGACTTACAGAAAGGTAATCATCATTTTTATCCCAAACGACCATTTTTGGTAGTTTAGTATCAATATCAAATTGTTCAGCAAATTCTTCCATCTGTTTAACTCCAACATAACCAAATACTAAGTCACGATTTGCGGATGCAGCAGCCTTTAATAACTTAGTCAGTTCTTTTGATCTTTCTTCATCTTCATCCTCAACAATTGTCAAAACTATTTTCCTACCATCTGCTTTCACCAACTTAAGTGTTTCGTAGGATACAGGTACAACCAGAGGAATCAGGTTTTGTCTAACAAAATCTTCCAAAAATTCATCTGCTTTATGAAAATAAAAACATTACTCATCAAAAGATTCCTTTTATGATGTAACGAACTTTAAAAAGAGTATACATACAAAAACAGATACATTCCAACAAAACACAATGTGAGAGAAGAAAAATAAAAAATATATATGACACATAATCCAATAAATGATACGAGTTTAGAACATCATAGTGGTTTCTAGTGACACATGAAAGACATTCTAGATAATAGCTGACATTCGAGCTCATATAGAAACAAAAGATCACTGAAGTATTTGAGTTCAAACTTAAGTTCCTATCATGAAACAGAAAAGGCCTCTCAATTCTTAAATGAAATCAATTGTGTTAAGCTTAGACTTCAGCTTCAGTCAAATTCCATTAGTAATTTCTTCATACCTAATTTCATTCACGGTCTAGACAAAGAAATCACAGGCAGATTTACATTCGAATACCATAAAAGTTACCTTATCCCACAAAAATTCAAAGAAGAAGACACAACTATAAGTTTAATTTTCATGCCAGTCAAGTACCATTAATTAATTCACAAATTTTAACTAAGAAGATAGACTCTTTCTCTCTCATATTAAGATTGCAGAAAATGGGTACCCACAAATCATTATTCTCTCTCAACATATTGATTATGTGAAAGATAATTAAGAGGAAAGAAAAAGATAATTTAAAAATATTGCAGGTAATTTTGGAAGAATGGTACAAATTTAATGTCAATAACTAAATTAACCAATTTTCTTGAAGGCCGTGAATTAATTGAAAATGTCTTCTAAATAAGGACCGATGGAGTATTTAATAATTGCTTATAAATAATTAGGCATAGTGGATTTGCTATGGCCGATTGTAAATACTAGATTAAAGATTATAGTTCATTCTATAGAGACACTTACCAAATTCCAATATCTAAGTAAGGTTTGACAAATAACCAAGTGAAGTCATCACAATCACAAAATATACTGTTTAAACATTATTATTTGGACTCTATGTAGTAGCTTTAGCTTGAGGAGAGTTGGTCTTTGACAGTAAAGTGGTTCCTTTCCTTGCTCGACAACACCATTATTAACTCTTCAGACTGAAGTAAATTTCAGCACAAGGTTTGAGGCATTGCGTTATCCATGTTTCAAGCCCAAAGGGATCTTGTATGAAGAGATGTATTAGATACTTAGTTATATAAAAATCATTCTAGAATCTCTACCTAGCGGCTTCAGCTTTTAGGAGAATTAGCCTTTGATATATACTAACAGGTCTCAGTCCATCAAGCATGTTTACCAAGACAAGCTGTATACAACAGCGAGTGAAGCTTAAAAGGCCCTACTGAGATAAAATAGTAGGACAAACAAATCAACTAGCATTATCTTTCTTTTATTAAACAAAACCAGCATTTCACTATCAAAGTAGCACATGCCAGAACTTACTCTTGAATGTGTCAAATTCAACTCAAAGGCATGAATAAATAGAAGTTGAGGTTAAGTAAGTGGGATGGACTAACTAGCACATAAAATAACAATAAGTGATGATAACATTGATTATCTACAATATCAACTAACCTTCAAAGGGTCCATAGAATGTGTTCCGCTCATTGTACTGCGGATTCAGGGAAACCAATGCAGGAATCTTATCAAAATCATACAATACCATGAGATCCTCTGAAAAATCCTTTGCCACAGAAAACCATGCATTTTTCTTGTACTTTATGCCAAACTTTTCTATTAGCGTTTTGTTCAAACCAAATCCTATAAAAATTGGGAAAAAAGTGCCAGCTTCTTCAACGAATGTATTCACAGCAGAGTCTGAATCCAGAATGGTAACATCAGAAGCAGCAAATTTCTTCAGATATCGAACAAGTAAATCTGCCTTCCTTGGTCCACGGTATTCTGTGGGGATGCCATGATTAAACAGCAAAATGGTTGGATATGCACTACAAAACAGAATAAAAGTATTGTGAGTTCATTTAAGAAATAAAGCATTTGTCTCCTTAATTGCCGAACCCAAAAAAGTAACGCTTAAGAAACAAAGACAAATCCAACAAGCCATATAACCGTAGGGCCGCAGAAACATACTCAACATCATATTTTTTTGCCAGGCGGGTATGCTTGTCCGCATCTACTTTTGCAATGATTATAGGTTTGTTCAAGGCTGCAAGCACAGGCGCAGCTGCATCTAACTGCACGGTAGAAGACCACAGCTATTATCCTCACATAAACAGCAACAACAGCAACAACGACAAAGCCTTATCCCACTACGTGAGGTATTGTCCTCAAAAAAATGCAACATAAAATGGCACTCGTTAATCTCTGGTCAAGCAAAACTAAACATGAAGTGCAATGTAAGATCAAAATTCACATCACAAGTCTATTTCTATCTCAGAGACCTTTGACAAAGTTAACAAAAAATAGCAACAAGCAGCGATGTTGCAACATTGAAAACCAATACTCATCAAATAAACCACTAAAGAAAAAAAAATGAGCACCATGCTTCAGAAGCGCTGTCCACCAATATCAAAACGAGGAGCCCTATTAACCACTAGAAACTACAAATCCATGAGTGAAGTTCATTCCCACTCATTAAGTAAGGAGTGAAACACACAAAACTTCGCAATTTCAGATAGATTTCACCAATGGCAGAGTGTTAGAAACATGACATTAGAGAGTGTCCTGCAAGCATTTTTCTTATCAATCTTGTCGAAGCCAAGAGCATCAAACATGACCCATGAAGCAAAGGGAAATAAAAAGCAAATTGTGAAAGTGATTTTGAAATAAAAAAGAAAACTTGCAGAGACCCATGAATGAGGGTACAGTGGGCACCCACCTCGGGAGCTAGACGCTTGCAGTGGCCACACCAGGGAGCGTAAAAGTCAACCAAGATGTGATCGAAGGTGGCTATGGCGGAGTCGATGTTGGACTCGTCCAAAATCAAAACCTTTCCATCAACCGAAAATGTCGCAGCTTCGCCACCCCAAAACTGGATCAACAACACAACACTTAAAACAACCGAAACCCTCATCCTCATCATATCTCGTTCGTTTGTGTCGCAGATCCCAACGACACAATATACTAAACTCTGTTGTCTACTAACCTCTATTTCCTACTGCATGCTTGATTTTCATTACTCACGGATCAGATCCAGGGATTGGATTAAAATTTAAACTTTTTCACTTACTATTCAAAAAACGACCTACTTAACTCCATGGAACGTGACTAAAGTACGTTGACTCTGCATTTCTATAAAGTTTAGATATTCTGGGTATAATTAAGTTATACAAATTTAATTAATTAATATTAACAGGTGTTTTATAATATATATATATATATATATATAATAATAAATTATATCGATGAGTATGTAAAATATATTAGTTGAAGTTAAGAATTTTCGTTGTTTGTTTTTCTTTTCAAATGTATGGTATTTTTTTTTAAATCCATACATTTCCAAATTTTCGTACACAAAGAAGAGATGGTTATGCAAAGGGGAGACGGTTTAAATTAGATTGGATCAAAACAAAATTCCTCAAACTTGAACTATTAAACCCAACCTATTTTACTTTAACACACATTGTATTGCTAAATAAAAATAAGTGTTTAGAAACAAAATGAAAGGAAGATAAAGTAAACATAAGATTAAGATGATTCTTTAAATTATTTAATATGGAAGGACAAAAAATTATCTTATTTGACTTTTATAAAAAGGTTAAAGGGAAAAGGTGTACATAAATATTTTAAAAAAACTATATATAATATGTAATATGTAATATAAATAAAGGTTTTCTTATCATTTATATTCTTTTCTTTTTTAAAATTTAGAGAGGAAAACTTTATATTTTTAACACCATCAAACTATTAAAAGTCTCCAGAATGTGGGTTATTTTTAATCTCCAGTTTGCTAAAAATAAATAAATGAAGGGAACAGAAAAAAAGAAAAGAAAAGTGAAAATATAAATTATTTTATTGGAAAAAAAGTCTGTCAAATATAATTTATTTACTAATAATATTTTTATTTATTATTATTATTATTATCAAATTATTTATTATTATAATAATAATAATAAGAGCAAAAGAAAAAACATATAATCAATTATAATTAAAAAAACAGTTAGACTTAAAAAAATAAAAAGTTTTTGAAATTTTTTTAATAAAATATCATTAAACAAGTTTTTGAATTTTTAAAATTTATTTTCCATATAATAATAATAATAATAATTTATTTTCCTTCTTTTTCCTCACCTATTTAAACTTTCAGTAATCCTCCATTGTTTTACACATTCATATTTCCCAATTTCCTTTTTTTTTTGTTTACATATTCATACTCCCCTTTTTCTATCTCTTTTTTAAAACTATGATCAAAATCATTCCTCTATTTTTTAAAATAGCAAAACTCATTTTATCATGTCATCAATAATGTTTATTTGAATAAAATGCGTTTACTAATTTTGTAATGCAGAAAAAAAAAGTAATTATCGGATCGATCTAAGATAAAACCTTTAGAAACTGATAAACTATGTCTATAGAGAAAAATATTGTTCTATTTATCACTTATTTTTATTTTTTTTTGTATAAATTTACACGGACTAAATTGTTATAAGTTATAGGTTTGCTATTTTTAAAAAATAAAGTCGGTTATATCGAAATAAAATAAAAAATACATTTCAAAATAAATGGAAGGTGTGACTTGTAACGTAGAACCAAATTTGCATTAGCCTTTTTTTTTGCAATAAAAATATCAAAATTTCGAACTACTCGAAAAACATATTATTGAAAAAAAAATTAGAGTTTTAAAATAATTATTGTGAAATGTAGCCATCCAATTTAAAATAAATAAACTATAACTCTTAATTTATTAATTAAATAATCATATACAAGTTATATGACGAGTGACATATTATTTTGATCTCTAAGGCTATGAAGAATAAATGAAATAAATAAAAAAAGAATATTTCACAGCAAAAGGCGAGAACGACTTCATTCTGTTAACTGAAAAGAGGATAAGGCAGAATTAATTGCAAGATTTGATTTAAATAATATATTTTCTTTGATATATTATCCTTAAAAGTCATTTATTAGAAAAAATATTGCATTTTGAATTAATATTATAAATAATATACTTTAGAGGAAAAATATTTAAATAAATTTTCTGTTATTTTTTATATTTAGCTTTTATTATTTACGTATAATTTTTATTTTTTACTCTCACATTTTTTTCTGATTTTTTTACTTATTTTTTAATTAAAAATATGATCAAAATATTAAATAATTACTTAAAATAATAATAAATAAATAAATAATTTAAAATTATTTTATAATAATAAATTATTTAATTAAAAATATTAAATATTTATAAATTTAATTTTTATTTAATAATTTAGTCTAGATATAATTAGATTGAATTATAATAATTAATCAATTAAATAAGTTAAAAAATATATATTTATTAAAAAAATAATTTAAAATAATTATTGAAAAGAAAAGAAAAACTATAAAAAGAATGAAATGACTTTTCCTTCATTCCATTCCTCCCTCTGCCACCGCCATCAATATGAATCCACCACCGAACGTAAGTTCTTATGTCATTCAAATAATTGAATATAAACAAGGGATCATGTTCCGCGGAAGATAACCGTAGTTTTCGGATACAGTTGTGATCAAATTTTTATGTCCAAGGCACTTACGGGTATATAAATATCATTGAACAAAATAAATTCTACCAAAAAAGACTATGCTACCTATTTTCACCCTTTCTAGCACAATTACGCAAAAATAAATAAATAAAAATTATTTTACCCGAGTGTAAATTTACATCCTATAAGTTAGAAGGAGCTGCTTCAGGCTTTATAAAAGCTGCGAGTGGCAGGGAAACTTCATTCAAGCAAAGAATGTCTGAAGTATTCCTAGTACCACCTCCAGTCACACACAGCCAGCTGGGTAGGTTTCATCCATCCAACGCAGGTCCTCTCAATCCAAAACAATGTGAGGGGAATTAATCGCTCAAGGAAATCAGCCTCACTGCAACTTAACACGCTTCGAATTGGTTTCTCTCAACCATTCAATGCAATCCTCTGCAGTTCCAGATGGATGGGCAAGTTGCCAAGCCATTGCTTTATCCAACTGCAAGAAAAAAATGAAAACCTCAAATTTCAAGGTAGTGTGTAAGTGAAAATGCATTAAGCCAAACAAATGACTTACCCACTCCTTTACAGGAGGTCCTCCTTTAAGCTCTAAGGTATTCATAACATCTTTGCCATTGATCAATTGTTTTACGTCCCATACCCTCTCAAGACCTGCTATCCACGAAAACGTGTTAATTAAAAAATGTAGTTTGAGGCCTAGTAATCTACTTGAGTAGTTTTCCCCCTCAAATAAACACACTTTTATATGATAAGGAAACAATTCTTGTATTTTTTTCCCCTGTTACCCTTGCTTTTCCTTATTTATAATTTTCTAGCCTAAACTATACTTTCCTACATTAGAAGAACGCTTCCAAACTCCCAATCCAAAGGAAAAATATGAAAAGGATCATTACCCAAATGAACATTCAATTATTCAGGTCAAAGAGACACATTGACAAGTTTAGATATAATAAATACAAAAAGAAATAGAAGTTCGAATGCTCGACCATAACAGGATAATTTGTATGAATATGGATTACAGAACAAGTATTTGACTTCTTCAAAAGATAAATAAAGCACAAGAAAAAGCAGGTAATGAAACTAAAAGTTAAAGAAATCACAAAATTGACATAAGAGCCACTAAACTCACCGAGTTTGATTATAGAGTTCTCCACAGTATTAAACAGATCTCTTCGTTTGTCCAACTGTGAGGGCTCATCCTCAATGTCAATAGGATGTAATATAGTGGATATCAACAGTGCAACTCGCCAAAAATCTTTAAGCTCTCTTAACAGAAACCCTACATGAATAAAATACATAAAATTCAGCGCACAATAGCTTTAGCACTAACTCCTTATACAAACAGATGTGGAAGAGCAGGCAAGAACTACAGTGCAATACTCACTCCATTGAATTCAGTCCTCATATATTAAGGAAATCCCTAATCTTATTGTTGAAAGTCCCACATTGCCTACCTCATATCATTTGGTATGGTTTAAATACATGTTAAGTTACTCCACATATTGCCAATTGGTTTTATGTTGGAACCTTAACATGGTATCAGAGCCAAAGCCTAACATCTTTCCGGTTATTGTCATGAGCCATTTACTAGAGCCATTTAGTCGAAGAACTCACTCTGATTACCAGTGTCATCAACCAACAATTCCAAAAAAAGCTTAAGCTGTTACGTGAAGATCCCTTAAAGGTTAAACATTAGAACTCTAAAAATCCAAAACCAGCATACTGCAGATGCAAAACCAAGGTAGAAAAGCAAGAAAACTATACCTGTTAGTACCCTGACTCTAGAAGAGACAGGGACATCACCCAAACCTCCCATCCAATCATGATCTACGACTTGGACATCCTCACCAGATGCAAGACAAGGGAATAACGACAAGAATTTATGTGATGCTTGGTGTAAGTTGAGCACCTAGATTTTGAGAAACAAATGCAAATACCAATACAAATTATCAACAAGAGTCGATAAAAAAAAAAAGCTAACATTATAAAAGTTACAACACATCCTTTACATTTTAAGAAGGCTAAAAAATAGAAAACTCACCATTTCTGCATCCTTAGCTTTTCGCTTGAGTGACTCCCGGATAATATGATTGACAACAGGAATCTATGATTTAGAATCCAGTATTAGGCTATTGGAGCAACATGAATAGACAGACACAAGGTACAATGATCACATGCAACATACATATTAGTCTCCACTCTCCAGGAGAGGAGGAATTAAGCCAAGTGTGCAAGACAATTGTCCAAGTTCATGAGCTTGAACACAGTAACTGAATTTTAGATCAAGGCTTGACTTGGCTAAGTTCATCTCAAATAATCATTTTTAAATGTTTTTCCAAACTAAAAGTGACAGCAAACTGCAATGCAGGCACCAACACAATATTTTTTATTTTGTAGTTTAGAAGCAGAAAGATAATTTTATTTCATATTCATTCAGATTTATATATATTGAAATATATAGGCAGAGTTGGTTAGAGATTTCTGACCAGTCAGATTACAACAGAAATTACAACAAATAAATAGATACAACAGGACAAATTAAACAAAAAAGATAAGGATAAGATTGGTAGAACACTATCTTATCTATTGTAAGGGATCTAGGATTCATTTATTCTGAAATATCCTAAAAACTTCCCCAACCTTCCCCCTCAAAGTTGGTGCATAGATATATCCACCACATTCAACTTGCTAACAAGAAATTCAGAATTAGGACAAAACAATCAACTCGTTAGAATGTGTGCCAACTGTTGGGAAGTTGGGACAGATGGCATACAAATAGCTCCCCCATCAACCTTTGATAACTGGCATTCAAACATCTCTCCTTCACAAAAGAACTAGATATTATTCTAGACGTTTTAACTACTCAATTCAAATCACAGAGCACAGAGTTACTTGCAACTTAATATTGCCAAATTACAAATAGTACTAGCATATAGAAAAAGTAATGGGTATGTACCTTCTTCGCTTTCTTTTCTCTGTAAGTAGTATTTCTAAGAGGGAGAAACAAAGCAGCACATAGTGTTAACCTTTTTTGTTCAGCCTAAAGTACAAAGAGAAAACGTGTATCAGCATATAAGACACTTCCTCTGGACTCAGACAAGCAAATGTTTGGTGGACTAAGCGGATTTCAATTTCCTAAGCCCTATTTAATATACTGATATTTCAAAAATACTTTTTTTTTTCTAAATCTAAACATCCTTCTCAATAAATATAATTTAGGGTAATTTAAAAAAGTACCTCTTTATTGTATAAAACAAGAATATTAAATGAACTTTATTCTTAATCAGTGTGAAAATAGTTAATTCTGCTTATATTGGAGTCCAGAGGTAGTACATAGCTAAACAAACATAAAGTGGTACCGGAATGGCCATGCAACTCCTACTATGACAAGAATAAATGGAACAAAATATTATATAGCAAAAATTAATCTTTAATTGATCGCTTACAGTAAAAGTTGAATCTCCGAGTAAATGGATAAGGTTCCATGCGGTATGCAAACAAGTTTTGCAAAGCCTGGAAAATGTTCAAAAAAATAACTGGTCAGCATGACCAATGAAATATTATGCAAGAGCATAGTCAAAAACAAAATAAAGAATTAAGCATGATTATAAGGTTTACGTAGAGAAGAAATGTGAAAAGTAGGCTCAATTATTCCAGATTGATATAAGGTCTATATAATACATAATATTCAGAGTCCCAATCACTTCATACTAATAATCAGGTCAACTATTAGTGGTATATTGCCAATACTAGCTAAGCTCAATATGGTTTCTAACCTAACAAGATTAATGGCATCATAAAAATCATAACATTCCTACAGCATGCATAGAAGATCTTGAAATTGAGCAGGTCTGAACTCAACCCCAAAAAGATAGCTCAAGGTGAGGATTATTCAAGCCTTAAGAAGCTTTACTTTAGCCATATCTATAGCTTATGTGAGATCTCAAAACCCCCTTCCCTCACACCAGGATTGGACATTATTAGAGATATTCAGTTTATGCTTAATATGTGAATTTACATTACATTGTAATTTCCTTGAGACCTTCTGTCAGTTAATTTGATGGTTGGTCTGTTAGTTGCTAACTAAGCAGTGAGTCATACCTCAGCTATATAAGGTTACCCTCTCTGTACATTTATTTATTTATATATTGCATAGGGAAGCTGCAGCCCTTGGGGCCACGTAGTTTAATTTATTTGGACAAATGAGAGTGGCCCAATATCATATCTATGATCAACTATGATACCATATTGAATTTAGGGTAAGCCTAGCTCAACCTCAAAAGCTAGCTCGTGAAGTGAGGTTGGTTTTCCCAAGCCTTTGTATGTTTTACTTCATTAATATAATTGAGACTGAATATTCAGACTGTTTATACAAGAAGATTGTGCCTAAAAAAATGTTGAAATATATAAATAACAGTCTACATTTGGGAATGGAAAAATTCAAACCAACCATTCAACTCTCATCTGTAAATATGTGCAAGATGTCAGTTAACTGTAATGTGATTAAATCATTCACTAATGATTTTGGCCATGGCATGATGTTACATCCTATATATTAGATACCTTGAATGCCTTCCAGAACCAGAATCTAGATTACACACTTATATCCTCCAAAACTCCTGTCAAGTAAGCTCCATACGATTTTACATAAGGTGGGCCAAACAATCTCTTATATATTGGGTTTTGTAGGTCTTCAACACATTATTTTTATGTCAAGCCAATTCTACAACTTCACAGACTAGATGGCAGTGAAGACTTTAATACTGGATCTGGTTTTCTGAACTAGCTAAATTATTAACTATTTCGAGTGTCAAAACATGGCTTTTAAAAACTTTAATCAATGACCAATTGTTTGTCATCAAATCAGATCAAGACAGCTAAATTACTACCATCTAATTGCAACTCAACCAACCATGTGGATCTCATATTTTTCATCTTTTGCAGGTTCAGTCTGGGTATAATTCCTAAATATTGGCTAAATAAAATATCCATATTATATGTGAGGATTCAATAACTAGTTGGACAGAAAAAAAAAATTATATCCTCAGTGCGCCTGTAACTGTAAATACACTTGTGCACATTTCAAAAGGTATACTGTTTCAAGTGTAAAATTCATCACAAATATCTATCATTTTTATCTTTCTATTTACTTTTTTTTTTTTGTTTCTGGCAAAGAGGCAATAATATCAAGCTAATTCTTACCTCGAACAGAAGATGCAAATGTGCTAGTCATTATTTAATGGATTTGCAATCATTATGCACTTTCAACCAACAAAGAAACGATTTTTTTAATCTATCTACAAACAATACCTCTCACATCCATCTGAAATAACAGGTTCAAATTCAGGAGGAAGACTGAATACAATCCAAAATAATGTCAGCTCACAAATATAAGTTATTGCTTTGACAGGCTGATTTCCAGATATCATAAGATCAATCTACAAACACAGCCATATACATTAGAGAGTGAATGATGATATTTTCAGTACTGACAAAAAAAGCACAATTACATCTTCATAATAAGATGCAACATTAGCATTCCAAATTTTAAAATAGCATTCTTCGGTACCTATCTACACTGGAGTAATGGAAAAGTTAGAACATACCTCTGTTCCAATGCGCTCTCTGCTAATTTTAGCAGCCAGAGCATCTTTCACATCATCAGATGCAGCAGCTACTTTCAGATCTTCATCTAGGGTAAAATCAAATCTAGCACCTAAAAATAAGGAAAATGTGTCTAAAATATAACAGGAGAATAAGTGCTTACTTATAAAAAAAAACAAGGGAAAAAGTTTTAGGGGATATACAAAAATAAATATATCATGAAAATTAGAAAATACCGAATCTAATGGCTCGGAGAACTCGTAATGGATCATCAAGAAATGTGGCCTTTGGAGGTAAAGGTGTTACTATCTTTCCAGACTTAAGATCCAGGATCCCTGCAAAGTGCCAAACAGATTATTAGAAGGAAAAACAAGTAGCTCACAAAATCCTTGTTCAGTAAAAAAGAACCATTCTAACCTCTCTTGGTGAAATCTTCAACTGAGTCAGTGTTGATGTTGTAGAATAAGCTGCCATGCACAACTGAATCAATTTATGAAACTATGTTCTAAATGAGTACAAAAGAGAAGATTACTCAAACCAACATATACATAAAAAAATTTTACCAGCGTAATACTTAATTGTATCATTCCACACACATAAATGCTTAGATGTTCAGCAGATTGTTTTTAAATTTCTCCCAGCCTTGTATTTATTTCTTTGTATTACCTAATGATACGTTTTATTAAAAAATAGCACATAGAGATACCTGTTAATTGTCAAATCTCTCCTATATGCATCCTCTTCTGCTGTTCCAAACCTTTGCTGTTAGACATGAAGCATCATTTATTCTGTTGAATTTGACAAGGATACGGAAAGGGCAACCAAATATTCCAAATGGCAAATACATGTTCATCTTAGCATAAAATTAGCTTAAATATCAATTAAAGTGCAACATATAAACGAATTGTACCTTAACAATAATAATTTGTCTTCTTTCTAAAGCATACAACTAATTATGAGAATGCATGTATGTGATTCCAACTTAGAAGAAAAATGGAAAAACATGTCTTAAATGACCAAAAATAAACTACATAAGAAATTTAGAGGAGAAAAAAATGCAAATATGCAAGCACAGCAGAACCCATAAATTTTTATCAAAACAAAAGACTGAGCAATTATATACCTTAGAAGGAATGCGGCTGTTCTCAGTGTATTCTTCACTCCGTAGGTTAACAAAATCAATCCATATATCAAACAAACGCATCCTGGCTGTTTCCAGATGTTTGGACTGGTCAGGATTGCTGCCAAAAGAAAGGTCAATACTAATAATGCTTTACCCAAAAAAATGTACAAAAAGAAAAGGCAACGAAAAATAAACAGCTTATGATATATCCATCAGCTGTCAAACTTGCACATTTTCTAGATCGTTAACACCAGTGAAAAAAATATGTCAACTTGCTTCGTATGCTGTACTCCAGTCAAACAACGATACTCATCACATTAAAAATTTGAATATTACACTCAACTTTCTCACTTATAATGATTGGACCTGCTTAATTAATTACGTGCTGTGTGAAATAGTTTCGAATAATAAAAAGTGAAAATTGTGCTTTGATTTCCTCGAGCTAGACCTCAATTATGTTATACTATATCTAAACACTACATTACCTTATTTCAACTCATGATTTATCCGTATAACCTTTAGTAACGAATATCAAATATGTAGTTAGCCATTAGGTATTTTACCGCAGTAAGTTAATTTGGCCTATTTGACAATCACAACCTAGTCAAGCAACAAGACTTGTAAAACAAGAGAAAAATAAAAGAAGAAAAGAGAAAAAAAACCTCTCAATAACACAAACCCCCTGTGCATCTTCGCCAATGGTCAGCAAGTACTCCCTAACCTTATCCACAAACTCAGTACCCATCATATCGTCCAGAGCGATATCAATGTCATAGCACTCTTTTCCTAGAAGCTGCAGAACAGAACAGATCAAAAGAGCACAAGAAGAGAAAACGAGGAAGAAATTAGGTCTAAGCATTAACGAAGTGTGACCTTGTCGCGAACCCAGCCACCGGCGACTCGAAGCTGTGTCTGGAGGTGGAAGTGGTGAAGAGTGGCGAGGAGCCTATCGAAAATGGTTCTCTCGGTGTCGGAGAGGTCAATTCTGTCACGAACCTGAACCGTAGACATTGGTGCGCAACTGCAAGTCCGATACGAGGGCGCGGCGATTCGAACGAGGGTTTTGGCGGGACGGTGAGAGTGGAACGGAAGAAGAAGAATTGGTGTTTGTGTATGAGACTGTGAGAGTGACAAAGCCCTGACACTGAAATTGGGTGTGGGATGCGCCACAAGAAGTCTTGTGGCAGTTTTCAAAGCCACTCTCATGAAATCGGCTCTTTTGTGATTAAATAGCTTGAAACCACTTCACATTTGCTTCCCACTGCTATATACTGCCATGCAATGGGTTTTGTTCTTCAGCACTTTTTTGTCAACTATCCTAACGTGTCTTGTGTTTTCAGTTATTATTTCTTTTTTCAATTGAGATTTTTAAAGATTTAAAAATTATAATATTCAATCACTATTACCACTATTCAATAAAATAGTGTGGTATTATTGAATTGAGACTTTTTAAATCTAAAATGAATTATCCCATTCAAGATCATATAAATTTCAAATTGTTGATTGAATTTTTATATTTGTATATATAGATTAATAATTTACATGAAATCATTCCAGTAAAATATGTGAGACTTTTTTTATTATTATTTAAAATTATTTTTCAATCTCACATATATTTTGGATCATTGTTTCTTCCGGTTAAATTTTGGGTTATTATTATTATTATTATTATTATTATTATTATTATTATTATTATTATTATTATTATTATTATTATTATATATACTTTTTATTAAATAAGTTTTTTTATTTAACTTTTTTATACTTGATGTTGTTACTGATTTTTTTTAAAATATTTTTATTGTCAGCATAGTCTAGACCTGTTTAGGGTAAACGAGTTGAAAGTACAACTATTAAAATTATACGAAAAATAACGAACAAAAAGAGGAAACAAACTAGTAAAAAAAATCAATTATTTCTATTTTAGTTTAAAAAAATATAAATAAATTCATATAATGATTTTTAATTGCTAAAGAAAGTGGTAGAAAGATTTTAATGCTGAAAACTAGATGAAAAAAAAACACTGTATATTTATGAGCTAATAACTTAAAATTGCTAATAAATCGGTCAAATAAAGTTTATTTTTTAAAATTTCCAAATAAAATTGTACAGAATTTGAGTATTTGAAATCCTTATTATATATTTATGTGAAAAGAATTTAAATTGATAATATATATATATATATATATATATATATAAATTAATTTTATAAAGTAAATGCGAATATTGATGTTTTTTTTATCATAATAGAAAGAAGAAACATAATAAATTAGAGTGATATAACAATATAAATATTTTTATGATTGTTTACTAAAACTTATTTTTCAAAATTAAAGAATAGAAGTTTTACACAGGCATGATTTATTTTTTAAAATATATGAAATATTTTATATTTTGGTAAATCTATATAATCTTTTCAAATATTACTATTTAACCAAAAGTACAAAATATATATATATATATATATATATATATATATATATTAAGTGTGAATATTTAATTCATAATTCTAAATTTAGATTTTTGTGATGATTATACATGTGTCAAGTGTTATTCTGTGTGTTAACTGCCCCACATCCGTGTCAGTAGTTGATAGGTGGCATGAATGCTTGTCACTTTGCAGAACACATTTGCGCGGGAAGCCGGCACAAACTGGAAGACTAGTTGCATCGGTGTTATAATAGCTCATGATTCTACACAATGCTTAATTCATATGTCAGAAGAGGTTCAATTCGCAATATTCAATTTTGAATGGTATTTGCATGAGTGGTATTATACATCAGCAAAAACACTTGCTATAGTGTAAGCTAGGTGGTGAGAGCAATAGCATCAACCACTTTGTATCAGAAAAGGGAGAAGGAACAGAAAAATTAAACAAATGGAATATAATCCATATTTTTTTTTTTCTGTTTTGTTTCCTTTCTAGTTCAAATGTTACTTAACTCAGAGAAACAAGCAATGTGCCTCCATACATGTTCCAAGCTTAAATCCAATGCATCTATTTCTCTCAAGCAGGGCTACAAATTTAGCCAAAAACTCAACCTACTTTCTTGCATTTCTTCCACCTCTTCTGCTAACAGCCTCACACAATCGGCATGGCAATGTGTCAAGGCTCATGGCTCGGGTTTTTCCATAGTTTCCCAGCACACCACACCTTCTCCATGCATGGTATTCTGCATAGGCTACTGGGTCGTTAGCAACTGACTTCACATACGAGGCCAACTCTTCCAATGAGTTGAATTTTCTACCATCTATGATTGAATGTGGAGGAACGAAATCCATGACATTAGGTGCACCAAAATAGATTGGAACTGCACCAGAGTCTAAGGCGTAGAATAGCTTCTCTGTTACATAACTCTCAGTAAAGTGGTTCTCAATGGCAAGAACAAACTTGTAGTGAGACATGGCACAATGTAAATGATCCCACCATTTTGGGGTAACATTGACATCATTTGCACATTCGGGATAAAGAGAAAGAGCCGCGTCTAGACCACCAACATTATTTAGGCACTTGCCAAATGAATGATGCGGTAGTAAGCTAAGGAGTTTCTTGGCAAGTTCATTCCTTTGAGAAAGGCACCGCGATGAAGACCAATAAACAAGTATATCCTACAAATGATAAATGGGGTTATGTTGCTAAGAGTCCTCTTTTGTTATCTATCATTTCATAGATTCTTGCTGAATTACTTACTGTGTTTTTTTTATTGGATACGTGATAGTTTCGACCACTGTGAAAGAGTGCACCAGCATAGGTTGACTGTACATCATCCTCAGCATGATAACTAATATATATATCCTCTTGACCTGATCTCTTTCGCCCAGCTTCAAGATCCATATATACACGAAGAGGTTCTCCAATGCGTCTCTGAAATATAGATGAAACGGAAACAAAGTGAGCAATATGCAATATCAAAGTATATTTATCTCAGCCAAAAAATCTTGAAAACCAAACAAGACAACCACGCATGAGTAGACAACAGAAGCACCTTCATTACAAAACTAAGGAGATGGTGTCCCGGTGGGATTAACTGCTTAAAAATGTGCTTATTAAATTCTTCTACAAAGATGAACTTGCCATTAAATCAGTTGAAAGAGTCTCGAAGAGATAATTGTATCAAGATAATGAACTCAGCACAGATAGTTGAATTGAAACTGTAAGCATGTTTTAACCAAATTTTGAACACCTAAAGGCTGAAACGGATACATGAATTCTACTGAACCAAAAGGCATTGTAGTTATTGACTACTTAAATCTGATCCCTGAGAACAGAACAACAGGATTAAGAGTTAAAACCATCGGCTCACAGTTAACAATATTGAAGAAAAATGGACCCAGCCACAGCCCAAATGGACAAAAGGGAGATATAATCACCAGTAGAATCTTTTATCAACTATGGTTGCCGTTAGTTAAGTTATACAAGAAATCAAAAAGAACTTCAGCTTACTATTAAACCCTGAATAATAGAGACACAAAGGAACAAAAATGAAAAATGTAGTCGTTTTGCTTAAGAAGTCTCTGAAAAAGAAAGGAGCCACTTTGCTATCATTACCTCTATCCAGCATTCCCTAATAAAATGCATTCCAAGACATAGCAAACAATTACAAGTTTACAACACTTTCTAGAACAACTACGCAAAATCATCATGAATAAATGATGTAACCAGATAGTCCTTGCCATGAAATAATTTTGCTAGATATCTATATTATATGCTACCACTAGCTTAAGTTCAATAAAAAGAACTCAAAACACAGTTCTTGATGCTTCAAACAATATCTCAAACTCAAGATCTATTAACCTAATCTTTACACAAAGACCATGTCATACTTCCACATAACACTGCCTGGAAAGGCTGATAAGAGAACGTTTCAGGCTTGTTTGTTTTAAAGTAGGGTAGAGTTAATTTTGATAGAATTAATTTTGAAACAATGAACATAATTGTGGTGTGTATTCTGATTAATCTCAGATTCTCAGTCATAGATTTTCATTGGAAAGTGCCAAAATTAATATTCTATCACCAAAACAAACAGAGGCTTCGTAAAGTAATCTGCCTTCAAGGTACATGCATGACTAAAGGGAGAATCTTCCAAACATGTTATCTCCTTCTAGTCATTGAGCAAAGACTAAAATGGATGAAAAAAGGCCTAAACATGGTGTTTGGTATCTGCTGAAAGGATAAATATCCTTATTACTTGCCAACAGCTTCCCATGGCTTCCACTTGTACACCAAAATTACCACCAATGCAATATATTTCACATGAGAATGAACCACTGTTCGTCATTTCTTCTCATCTTCTCAAAACTATCTCAAAACCAGGTCAATTTAGTTTTTTTTTTTTTTTTTTTAAAGGAAAAAAAAAAAAAGTGACATCCAATGCAGGTTGCCAAGCTAGCTACGTCAGTCGTAATTTGTGAACATATCCTTCTATGCTAGCACGGTAACACACTAAATGTCACAGATCTACTCTAACATCAAGTCTTCAACAGCAATCTAAGATCACGGGTGCTCAACAAATTACCATCAGATAAACCATAGGAAATTCTCACTATCTATTGATCCAGCCGTGAAAACTGAAATAGTAAATGACAACCAAACTTCAAAAGAGACAATCACAAAGCAGGGATCATAAATCGAACTCTCTCAGCAATGGCAGGGTATCACCCAGATGGCTCTGCTCCAGATTAAACACCATTCATGAGCCTTAATACATTTGTCATTTCCAAATCAAAAGTGAGATTTTGCAAACAAAGCTAGCACACCTCTTATATTCCCACCCAATCCAAACACCAATAGAAGCAAAAACCCACCTGAGCCGGAGGCGTGGACGTTTCAAACAGCAAAGCATCAGGCTTGTCAGCGAGAACAGGCGATTTGGTCCACAAGCAGCTCAACCCACAAGAGCACGAATACAAGTTATCTAAGTTATCAGGAATCCAAGTCCACCCTTTAACCAAGACACTAACATGGTTCAGTTTCAACCCCTCACAGTTTCCAATTTCCTGCAAAGAAGACAACTTTGACTGGTTTAAGGGAACCCCATTTGGCTTCTCTTTGAAGCGAGCGCAACCCACTTGCGAGTCCCATTTCCTGAAGGCCCCCACCAGATCGGTGAAGGGGTCGTTGGCCTGCGGGGTTATGGGGCGGTTGATGGGAGGGAAAGAGGAGGAGGCGGAGGGGAATTGGAGGAAGCCAGAGAAGAAGAGAAGGAAAAAGGTGAAGGTGAGCATGATTGTGACGGTGAAGGTGTTGATGGGCTTGGCAGAAACTGGCATGGTGGTTCTACCCCTCTCTTCGAGAGAGAGAAGACATGGGAATGAAATGGAAAGGACTGGGTCGCAGTACACGATCACAAGACCAGATGTTTGCTCGTCTTCTTCTTTAGTCTCGCGTTTCTCTGAATCAGTTCGGTAGATTTTTCAGTCGTTGTGGTAATAATATTAATATTCTATACTACTTTTCAAACTGGTTTTTGGTCGTTTTAGTTGGTGTGGATGGATTTAGCATTCTCGCTTGCACTAGGAAATGGGTTTGTGAATTGATATTGGAGAAATTTATTCAAAGTGACATTATTAGTATTAAATTATCAGAATTATTGTACTTTCCCAAAAGATTATATTTTTAGTATTTATTTTTCTAAATCATAATTTTGAGAGTATTGAAAAACTTCTCTGCTAGTTTTACGCAGTTGTTTTTTCTTTGATGTGATTTATTTTACTGTCTCTGACACAAGAAACTCCCTCACCGCCTGCGTTGTACTGTAAAAAGCTTGAACATAAAAAGAACCTGGAAGCATGAAACAAACCCTCGTTTAAGTTTTAGATTACTTTTATTTTACTTTAAAAATTGTTAATTGTCTCATAAAAATATACATGATTTATATATAAACAAAATTATTGTATTCACAACATTATGCCGTGATTAAAGGTTGGGATTATAACAATTTTATGAAAATACTTGAATTTGTAAATAATCTACACAAGTATGTAACAACTTTTTTTTTCTTTTTCCAGTGTCATTTATTGTATATTTATATTTATTTTTCCTTTTCATTGTAAAGTTTGTTTCTTTTCTAATTTTGTATGAATGTTTTTCTAGTATTATCATATTGCATCTATTATTGATGAGTTTATGAAATTCTGACTTTGTTTAGTTGATTACAAAAACAAATTTCAATTTTTATAAAGTTGACTTAGGAAGGAACATGGATCATGAGCAACCAAAATTAATTACTTGAAAAATCTATTAAAAAAATAGAGGGGTTGTTTATCAGGGTGTTCAAGACTAATCTTGCAATGAACGCATATTATTCCTGATAATCACATGGTTATTGAATTAAAACGATCTAAACTCAAAATTTGAATAGCATAAAAAATATTAATCATGCATGAAAATAACATAATGACATAATCTTAAAATAACAGGCCCAAAAAGAATACTACCTAATGATGGCCCACAACAGATAACAAACCTAATCTGAGCCCATATACGATGGCAAAAACAACAACAAGAAGTTATGGCCCAGACAAATACTACACTTGAAATAACGTGTTATTTTGTTGTAGATGAAAAAAGGAAAAAAAATAGTCTCTTCATCTTATTTTCACGTATCACAATAAAAAAAATCAAATTATATTATATTAATAATAAAAATATATATAATTCAACATTTAAAAATGACACCTTAATTATATATATAATAATTTAGTTATATTTATTGTATGTGACCTCTAACATCAACTAAGTTTATTAAAAAATATATATAAAAATTAATAAAAAGGGATAATTGTTTCTATATAAGAAACCCAATCAAAGATAGATTAAATTGAATAAAATTAACATGTAGATAGTTTTTTTCATAGTGCGGGTTTTGACAAATATTAATAACTTTTAATTTTGTTGAATTGAAAATCGTGTGGTGGAACTTGTAAATAAATGAAACATAGAAAAGGAGAAAAATGTGAAGCAAATGTTTGCATGCCTTGGGTTTGTAGATTAAATTAATAAACATTTAAAACTTCAACATTTGAACTTATTATTGAATGGTGGAGAGTGATGATGATAAGAAATGAGTTTGATAAAGAGAAAGTGAGGATAGAGAATTAGAAAAAAATGAATATAAGTAACAAGTTTACGCAAGTTGAAGTGAAGTGATACGAGGAGCAGAATGAGTGAAGGAACAGGAATTACTATGTTGGACAAAGATTCGTTAATCTCTCCTCTTTTGTCAACTTCATCCCTCGTCACTTGCCGTGACACGGAAGTAGAAACCTTTATTTTCAGTCTTGCTTCGTTAACAATTTTTTTGTTCTCACCAATCATCGCACCTAATTTAGCAACTTCACCGCTGCTGCTAAAACAAAATTAATGTGGTAGTCGTTCTCATGCACTCCAACTTGTAATCAAACTAATTTCAACAAGTTAGAATTGTTTGTTTCCCTCTGCAACTTATTTTTAGAAGCTTATCCCGTAATTGGTAGTCAAGAAAACCTGCTAGCTAATCAGTTCCCTACGGTTTTTTTATCCATGGCTAATGGGCCTAATTAGTTGGTCATAAAATCTGGTGTTTCTATTAAAAATGATACGAAAAAGATGTAGAAAATAAAGTCTCGTAGAATTAAAAATTTTGTATGAGTAATATTTAAAATTATAAAAATATTTAAGAAATATTTAAAAGTAGATGATAGATAATTTCATAATTAAGAAAATCTTTTCTAAAATCACCTAAAATATTGCAAACTAATATAAAGGGGGCAACTCAAACTTATAAATAAGTAACGTTACTCGTATAGTAAGTGTGTAAAAGTAATATAAATTCTTTTATATTTTTAATCTCATTAATACTTTTTTTAACATCAATTGTCTAACCGTCATTGAAAGTCTGATTTTTTTATAAATTTTTATCCATTTATCTAGAGGTCTCTTTCTTTTATATAGAAATTTGAATTAATTTTTAAGAGAATTGTCCATGGTAGAATTCGAACTCGAGTATCTTAGAGTTAAAAGCTGATACTCTAACCACTAAACTACTAGAATTTTATAATAATAATTTACAAATAAATAAATAAATATATATATATGTGTAAATATATAAATACAAATATATTTATATATTTTGATATATTTATATATTTATATAGTTATAGGTTAGATGTGAAGATACGCTCGAAGGTGAAAGTATGTGTTGAGTGAGTTTTCCAAATTTGATGTCAAAATTGTGACAAAATATAATATTTATAATTTATTTATATGAGTTTGTAATTTAATGACACAATATAATCTTTATAATTTATTTATATAATAATATAAAATAAATTTGGGAAACACGTCATTTGCTCAAGCAAAAAATACCAATTTTCGCTCAAGCGAGATATTTTCTCTTGAGCAAGTGAATTTTCGTGAGCTTTAACGTATTTTCGCTCAAACGAGAGTCAATATCACTTTCACCTTCGAGTGCGCCTTCACATCCAACATATAAATATATAAATATATTTGTATTTATATATTTTATATTTATATATTTACACGGATATATATTTATTTGTATATAAATATAATTTATTATTAGAAAATTCTAGTAGTTTAGTAGATAGATTATTAGCCTCTAATTTTAAGATACTGAGTTAGAATCTTGTCGGTGATAATTCTTTAACTTAAATGAATTTTATTCTCTAACTTAAATGAATTTTTGGCTGAAAAAATAAATAAATCATACAAATCTCAACCAATGACTAATGTCAATCCTTCTTCATCTATTTTTGTACATTTTTTCATGGGAAAAAAATTATAACTTTTAGAGGGTCTTAACTCAAATTTCGATGATCAATTTACTAATAAGATTAGCGAACATTTCATATGAGATGTAAATCTTGACATATGTAACTCTAAATGTGATTCTTGTGATCTCGTTGAAGATTCTAATAGTGATAAAGATTATGACTATGAACTTTATCGGAATAATTCTCAAACTCACAATTTCTCACACTAAAGGACTAGTTTTCTCGGTATGATTTATCAGTTAAACATGTCTTTCAAGATCATAGCTCCTAATAATATTTCCATACAAAAACACAAGGTTAGATTGTTAGTAAATGACTATTTACAACAATATGAAATTAACTAGAACAAGACAAATTTATCGATACACTACCAAGCCACAAGTTCTTTAAGTTATTAGAATTTGTATTAATGAGTAATAAAAGAGGATACAAATTTTAAAAATATTTAAAAAATAAAGTCCTAAATATTATTATAAGTAGGAATTTTATAGGAGTAATATTTAGAATTATAACAACATTTAAAAAATATTTTAAAAAAATAATAATTGTAGAGTTAAAATATAGAATATTACACACTAATTTAGAAGTGATGAATCATACTTATAAATAGATAACAGCATTTATCTAATATAAATACAAATCTAATATAAAATCTTTCATATTTTCAAGCTTTCTAATATCTTTTTAACCTCTTCACTACAAAACAACTAACCAATTTTTGTTATTCTTCCTAAAATACTAAAGATACCATTCCTATAAAGAATTTTCAAATTAACAAGCTTGACTTTCGAACATAGTTAAAGAATAATTGCTCTTGCATTGGGCTTTAACTAATGTTTTAATAAATTTTAGAACTTTAGAGAAGAGAATAGTGGGAGTGGTAAAGGAAGATGTGGCAGAAATAATTGACAGCAAGTTGTACAAAACTTGTTAGCCATAAAAGGTGCAGCGTTATTTATAAAAATTGAAGGGAAAGAAAGAGAAACACATAAGTGATCCTTTAATGTTATTATTATTTTAGTAGTAGAAACTGGTAATGACCGGAGAATAAGACAATGGAAAGAAAGTGGGGAAGAGGAAAGTAGTGAAGTTTAGTCTGGTCGAAACCAGGCCACATATATGTTATTAGTGGATTAACATCCATGCATGCTAACTTGAATCACTACATTCCCCTGAGAACCCACAATGTACCAACTAGTATATAAATAAAGACAGGGCTGGGTCCTGCTTCAACAGGGTTATGTACAGCCACATCAAACTTTACAATTAAAATGACTGTTATTAGTCATTCATGCCACAAAAACGGCAATTGTAGCATTTGTTGGGACCTAAAAGCCTTATACTGACGGCTTCAAACAAAAAAAAACCGTGCTCCTTTTTTTTTTCCATATTAAAACACTGGGCCAAAAAACAAAGATGATCAACTCATTAATGGAACCCTCCGCCCGCAGCGGTTGCAGCCTTGGCCAAATCCGGCGGTGGTGATGGCAGCAGGA